AAAAAAAAAAAAAAGAAATATATGTAATAGATTCAAACCATTTTTTTCCAATACCCTACTTCTTATGCTCCCTATCTTGTTTTCTTGTTCAACTTGAATTAAAATGTCTCTCATCCACCCCCCCTCCCCCCCAGAAAAAAAAAAAGAGAAATGGAAAATATGTAATAGATTCAAACCTTCTCAAACCATTTTTTCCAACACCCTACTTCTTATGCTCCCTATCTCGTTTTCTTGTTCAACTTGAATGAAAATGTCAAGGATCATACTCTAACTTTCCTCCAACCCCAAAAATAAAAAAAGAAGAAAAATATGTAATAGAATTAAATTGTAAAGGATCATACTCTAACTCTCCTCCAACCCAAAAAAAGAAAAAGAAAAATATGTAATAAATTCAAACCTTTTCAAACCATTTTTTCCAATACCCTACTTCTTCTGCTCTATCTCATTTTCTTGTTCAACTTGCCTCGCCCCCCTTCCCAAAAAAAAAAAAGAAAAAAAAAAGAAAATTCCTAGCTCTGCCACTGGATTGGGATCATCAAAGTGTTTTTGAGAGACCAAAGGCATTGTATTTTGTATATTGACTAAATGACATAATTTATGGTGCATTCGTTGCATTATCAAAAGAAATTATTGATTGAATGAGACGGTARGTACATCTTATGAAACATATACCAATAATAAAGTAAATAGACTTTAACTTGATTGATTGGATTTAACATGCAACTAATATTAATGAATGCATTATAATTGAACTCTTTTGATTCTCAATTCTTATGCAACTTTGGCAAGGCCAACAGAAAAACGTTTGTTTTTTGACCGTCTTTTTGGTCAAAAGAATAATGAGTGCAATTACTCTTTTACACCACACTTATGACAACATTTCATGCGAAAAAAACATTCTCAACACTTAGGCCCTGTTTGGTTTTCAGGAATAAGGGTCTGGAATTGAAACCGGAATGGCTTTTCCGATTCTAACTGTTTGGTTGGATGCAATTGAAATCCCATTCCTATTTCTGTGCCTTTCCCTTGGAAATGAAATATCATTCATGTTAATTCMAATTTTTATTCCCATTCTTATCTAAACCAAATAGATCATAAAAATAGATCATTCTGATTCCAATTTTAATTCTGACCGTAAACCAAACGAAGCCTAAAAGTTAATTTTTGGTAGGACAACAAGCTGAAGATCTCCCCAACTGAGGATCGGAAGGAAGATCACGAATGATTCTATCTGGAAATTGGATGCAGGCCACATGATCCTGATCCTCAGCAAAGAGGCCCACCCATAAATTTTATAGAGCTGTAGGAATGGGGAGGGCACTGCATTTTTGTTCCTTCTTTTTTTTTTTTTTTTCCTTTCAGTGGCAATTTGCAAATTGCAAGCATAGTAGGAATTTTCTCCCTTTAGCTTTTCCTTTCTTTCTGGCTGCGTAAAGCAAAACTGACTGATACATTTGAACGTGGGGAATGCTGTTTTCTATATGGGGAGAAGACATTGAGATGGAAATATCACATCACACCTTCAGATTAGCTTTCGTTATTGAGGCGGCCAGAGAACATGGGCGRTTTATGACCGAGACTTTTTTGAGTTTTTCCCCCTAAAAAGTAGACTTGTATTAAACTTCAAGCTCAAGGGCTTGATACTTATGATACCCTAACAAATCAACCAGTATTATAAAATTGATAGTTAATATTGGCAGGATTGTAAATAATGGATAGAATTGGATTTGGTATTGGTATATTCAAATTTTATTTATTTTTTAATATTTGAATTCGAATTGGTTCTCGATTTGAATTTTTGTTGAGAGGTGATCAGAAATAATAGGGGTTATCGAACCGTGGGTTTATTTTTGAAACCGAATTGGATTGTCGTTCTTTGAAAAACCGGTAACCAAAATTAAATCAAAGTCGATCGGTTAACCATCGATTCAGTTCGTCGATTCATCAGTTTTTTATTATTTGCAATATATATATATATATATATATATATATATATATATAACATATTAACCGAATTTTTTTGCTCACCCCTAATGAGTAACATCCCATGTATATGAAGTTATCTCCCACTCCCACTAATAATCACATCTCCTTTTGACTTTTGATGATCTCTAATAATAATCACATTTTGGGACTAGAGTTTCTGATAATCATTCATATCTTCCTTGAGGAATTTCACAAAATTTGTGAAGAATTTTCCCAAGCTTTCTGTGTCTCTAATTTCTATCCTACCAAACATATCCTAAGGCCAGATGATGTCCATCCACATTAGTGGGCTGGGCTCACCAAACCATCAATGCTATTAGATCCGTGATTGGCAAATGGTGTGAAGTGAATGATTGAGGTAGGTTTAGGTTAAGGTGAGGGTGAGGGTGAGGGTGAGGGAGGCCCATCACTCTCCATCAATTGACTTCGTCAACGTGGAAAAGTTGTCCTTCCATTTCCATATGGCATATGGGTATGTATGGGTCGTCCAACTTTGCAATCTGTACTCAACCAATCTTCCCCATTTCCGCATTCTGCTCAAAAATGTCTGGCCTCAAATCCATTCAAATTACTCTGCAAATCCTCTCTTAAGGTCTTAGCAAACCGTTTAAGGTGCCACTGATTTTGCTTCCCAACAAAAGATCCAAAAATTGGGTCTATTTCATTGAGGTTTGTGGGATCCATGTATCTCCATTTTCTTCATCTTACTGTATTAAGTACGAATAAACCCACTTTCAGTGTCACCTTCTTCCCTTCCCGTCCCTGTAACACAACAAAAGATTTATTAACTGAATCTGTGCTGTGCATCAAAAGAGTATGATGGTTTGTTTTTCCCACGCGTGAGAGTGTTAATTGTGATGGTGACAGAAAGCTTCACAAACTGAACAGAGGCAGCATCTTTAATGAACATCTAGGACACTTTGCAAACCAAACCAAAATTCTGAGTGGAAAGGTCAAGCTTGCAACCATCTCCAGTATTTTTCACCCAGCTTTGATGGTTGAAAATCCGACAACTTATTATTTCACAGGATCGGTTGAGCGTGACACATTCTCATGATGATGAAACCACGAAAGCAAACTAATGAAATATGATGACACAAGACACCAGCAAGCAATCCACAAATTCACATTGTTCACTTTGCTCTTTAATTTTATTCACCCTTGATTCATAATTTTGGAAAATTGTGAAATTGATTTGATTTGTTAATTAATCTTAAACAAATCCAATTCGCTTATTAAGCCCAGTTTGGAAAGAGTATAAATACATATAAAATACAAGATTTTGCTCTCTACATACTCCTTCCAAACTGAGCTTAATGCACCATCAAATATAAAATGGGGCTGATTCAGGTCTTGCCTCAAAAAGCAAAACAGAAATATGTCATATAACTGACTTTTACCCTTGATTAATGATTAATGTGAAAGCAAGAAGATGGGGGTGGGAGGGAGTTGACAATACAGTTAATCTAAGTCCAACAGCTACCATTGTCTTAATCCATGTGAAACCAAGAACTAGGGAAAAACTCTTTCTTATTTTTATTGTTAGAGTTAATCTTAATCCATGGAAGGTGGGCCTTGGCGCAATGGTTGGATTGTTCTATTATAACTTGGATGATCAGGGTTTAAATATTAGAAATAGCCTCTCTCTCTCTCTGTATGTGCAGGATAAGATTGCATACATCTGTTCCTCCCTAGACCATATTGGTTATCATTAACATCACACCAATTATACAAGGATAGCCTACAGATTAGTTCCAATGGCCTCAGTTTGTGAAAATGATTTGCACCGAAAATTGACTCTTTCTCTTCATGCCTGGTTCAGGCAAATTGATTCACTCTTGGTAGGTTGATGCTGAGAATGAATCAGCTTCTTTTTATTTTTCCTGTTTTTGTAAACTCTATCACCCATCTAAACTTTGGATACAAGCAAGTTTAAGATTTGAGGAGGGCTTTCTCACAAAGTCACAATGGCTTTGGGAGTCCAGAAAGTACATCGGCAATGTTAGGAAGAAACATAATAACCCAAAATTAAATGGGGCTTTTTTGATAGCTTCTTCAAAGTTCAAACAGCTTAAGCTAACCGCTAAAGCTTAAATGGGACCTATTTTAACGGCCAACTCTAAATTTACCACGTCGCACCCGCCGACGTTACAGTATTTTTCTCAGCAGTTCACCGAGTTCAGCAGGCAAAGTTCACAGTGATAAAATGCCACGAGACCCCACAAATCCAATAGAAAAATAAAGAAGCCACTTTGAGGCTTGAGCTGTTCCCAATTCAGAAGTAAAAGGAAAATAATAATACACAGAGAAAAGCCAATCCACCTGTTCCTTTTCTTCTCGTCTCTGTTTTTTCCCCTTCTGCCTTGCCTGTTGCCTCTCCTCTCTATTGTTCAAAGACTCAAATCTTTCAGCCTTTCTCTGCCTTCATGGAAGATTTCAGATCCAGGTCGTGTGGGGATGGGAGGATGCAGATAGAGAGCTACTATGGGGGCAGACCCACTGCAACTGTTATGCATGATCTTAGATGTTATAGTGCTTCCTATGCTTCTTCTGCACCACCACCACCCCCCCCACCACCACCACCAATCCAGATGGGGAAAGATGCCAAGTTCAAGAAAGGTAAAAGTACTAGTGCCTCTACCTCAAAGAGTTGGAGCTTCAATGATCCTGAGTTGCAGAGGAAGAAGAGGGTTGCTAGCTACAAGGTTTATACCGTGGAGGGAAAGATGAAGGGGTCTTTGCGGAAGAGCTTCAGGTGGCTCAAGGACAGATACACCCAGGTGGTCTACGGATGGTGGTGATTATTGGGATTTTCTTGTTTTGCGCCTCTGTTTCAGTTTATATGTTTTGGGCTATGTAAGTCCAGTATGCTTGACAATCTCGAATCTGATATTATCAAAATCTTTAGTTGACAGTCTTTCCATGGACATGGATAGATAGATGAACTGGTTTGCTTATTTATGGATTTCTTTCTTTGTAAATGTATGTAGTCGCTACGAGTTCGATCATTTCTTGCTAAGCTACTTTCTTTCCCCCTTTTAATTTAACTAATCTTTTTTTGTGGGTTTTGGCCGCATCCTAGGGATTTTGGAAGTTCTAGTTAAGATATAATGTATCTGAAGCTTTTCCTGATACTGGATAGTGTTTTTATGATATTCTTATGTATTTAAGTTTGGTTCTTCACAGTCTGAAGGGAAAAATTTGATTCTTCAAAGTCTGTTTGTCTTTGTTATTTCTGTTTTATGGGTGAACTGATTTATTTTCTTATGATTTGATCATCTGTAAACAATGGGTTCCATATTCCAGTTGATAGGAGAAGGGGTTTGTGATTCTTGATCTTCTCCTTTTATTTCTTCATAATTACGTTTGCGTTTCTAGATTTTGGACATGGATAGGGCCTCTGCGTTTGGGCACCTGCCCATGCGAGTCCAATTTTGCACTCCATAACGGGTTCTTAGGTATAAAGTTATTTAAGAGAGATCCCTGCAATCAGTAGTTTAAGTTTTCTTCTTTGGCACTAGGAGATTCGTTCCAGCTTGTCTTGCCTTGATCCATGATTCTTGGGCACTTCGTAGTGTTGATCCCTTGATTGTTGGGCACTGTGGTATGCGGTCAGTTTTGGTCTGTGAGTTATCCCTTCAAGCAAGCCATACAGTCTTTTTTATGATTAGGATTGGTGAAGTTGAGCTTTTTTAATGAAGTCATAGATATGACCACTGAATCGGAGTTACAAATTTAATGGAGATTGGACCTTTCCTTTTGCGATGATAAAGGTAAACAAAGCATAGCATCATCATTTCTTTACTGGTTACTTGAACAAATGCAGGTTTTCCAATTTAACTCGTTGTGTTGGTCTTTATTTTGCCTGAACTGTTACTGCCCTACGATAAGATTTTACAGAAAACATGTATTTGTCTGCCTATGTGCGGCAGATTGAAGGTGGAACTGTGGATGTCATTAATTTAGAACCAAAAATGTTTATGGCACAAAGTCTTATGCATTTCCATTGAACCATTGGTTTTCCAATTCCCCTTTCTCCTCTATTCTCTCCTTTCCTTATTTTGCCTGTGGCAAATTTTGAAATAGGTTGTTATTTTTGTACTAAAAGAAATCTTGGCACCAAAGTATGCTCATGTCCACTTAACTATCAAGTTCCCAATTTTTTGAAGCCCTCCTCCATTGCTTCTATTCAATACTATAATCCAATGTGAATACATGAGATGACACAGTTTGTCTTTATGATTAAGTACATCAGAAACTACTTTGAAATTCAATGAAGCCTCATCTATAAGTCATTTCCTTTGTTGTCCTATGATGGACTTGGCAGTGAATTACTCTGCCTGCTCATCATTTACAATATGCAGTGTGCTTCCTATAAAATGTTGGATTTTCTTCTTATATATTACATCATCTGTTTGAACCTGGCAGACACTCCCTTTCTTATGAAAACTCAGGATTTTCAGATGAGTTTGTTAGATATTACATTACATATTTTGAGTGGTTGGAAATTGGAGTTTACTGTAGACACATTTGTTGTGGTTTTACATTAGATATCTTTTATGATTGGTTCCTTGTACATGTGAAGTTAAAAATAGGATTTATGGGTTTCGCTGAAAGAATCTGGAGTGATGTCTGCGCTAATGGTGCAGCATGAGTCCTAGTACAGGGTTATGATAATCATATGGTTGGCTTGTTGTACTTGGATGACCCAAAAGTATAGGATAAATTGACCTATATACAATTATGGAACTTCTTTGAATTAATAAAGTTGCAACTTGCTATAGATAAACCGGATTAATATCTATATACTTCCATGAAACAAGGAGGGTGGAACTCAAGACCTAAATCAGATGTAAGTTTTTGATCTCTTCCTAAGGTTTAGAAGAAGACAGAAGTTCTTTTGATGAATGTAGATGAGGAAAGAAGTTAATCAAAATATATTGGTCAAACCAAAGGTTCAATATATAATGTCTGTATTTGCTGATTGTTCTTCCAGTTTAGTACTTATGACATTGGCAGGAACCTTGATAAAAAATCTAGGTATTGAAGGTTATTAGCAGATATAAATGACCAAAGAAAATGTTAATGTAGAAATAGATATGCTGAAGGGGGAATTTGACATCACAAATTTTGTGTTAGTGCCTTTTGGCATTGCCATGGGAGTTCATCAAAGCCTGAAGCTGTGTTTGGTTACAGTGCAAATTTAATTTGCACTGGTGTAGATGCATAGGAGTGTATATGGGCTGAATGTAGATTCTGGTTTATTTTAGATTCAGACTTGTCCTTGTCTTATTTGTTTGTGACAAGTAAAATGATCCGGTCCCATTCCCACCTTACATGCAAGAGAATGGAGGTGGAAGGAGAGTTATTTGTTTGGGAGTGAGGTAGGAAGCAAGATGATGTGATACCTACTTTATAATTATATGAGAGAATTGAGGTAGGGGGAAGGTGGTGCAAATTTTGCATCAGTTTTTCATATGCAAAATCTACACTGCTAGTGAGTGCAAATGAGACAAAAGTACAAATTTTGTATCAGGTAGGAGTGCAAGTCATAGTTACTATACATTTGATGCCTAACCATCTGAAGTTCATTAGTTTAGCTTTTCCAAAGCATTAGATTGACCAAGTAATTATAACATCTGAAAGGTTTTGTTCCATTCAATTATAAGAATCACGCAGAGAGAGAGAGAGAGAGAGAGAGAGAGAGAGGCATTAGGAAGATGAAATTGATATGTTTTACAGAACCATCACTTCTTGATCATCTACCCGAGTGCCATTAGGAAGATGAACATCTGAGGATGGTGATAACAAACTTGTCATCCGTGGCTTACCCAAGCACAGGCTCCCTTCTTGGTAATCAAAAGCATTCACCTTACTGATAAAGAAAGCATAAACATTCACCTTTTGATCACAAGAGAGATTTATTATTATTATTATTTTTTTTTTGGGGGGGGGGGTGGGGGGGGGGGATAGAACTTAGTTTCCATTGACCAAGAAAGAACAGATTACAAGAAGAGAAAGCAGATCGAACAACCAACACTTACAGCAAGAAAAGAACTCTAAAGAAAGAGACAAGAAGACTAATGTTGCATTTGGCATTCTTTATTTTAAGGACTTATCTCCTTTTTGGAGTTAAAATGCCTCTATGAGCACTGAATTTTCAACTGCAAAAAGGAAATAATTCCTTAAAATAAGGAATGCCAAATGCAGCATGAACACTGAGTTTTTAACTGCAAAAAGGAGATTAGTCCTTAAAGTAGGGAATGCCAAGCCTAAACCCGAACTTAGAAAAACAAACTAGAGAAACAAAAATCTAAACAGAAGTAGAGATTAAGGGGGGTAAGTCTACTATCCCCAGAAACAGCAAGGTCCGATCAAACAGCTTGGGGGGGTGCAACCAAAGAGCTGACAAGCCATTCACACCCTGCTTTACTAATTCATGGGCCACCATATTATCTTATCCTCTCTGAGAACAGACCATAAAGACATCAGGAAAAGCATCAAAGGATTGAGAAGACATAGGTTGAATTACTGAACTGGAATCACTTTCTACAATGAAGTTTGATAAACCCAGAATTTTTGCAAACTCGCAGCCTTCCCTAATTGCAAAAAAGAAACCCATGGAAGAGTGAATCGATCCCAATGCATACTAGTTCTCGGTGAATTTGATATACGATCACTGAAGTGTTTTAGAGGTTGTGAATGAAACTGAGGAATTGCCGAAAAAATTATCAAACAACCATTAGAAGCTAACAGAGTACGTCAATGCTCCTACCTGTACCTGTGCTGCTTTTATGTGTTGATCGTATCTCTCTCCAGTCTATGTATTAGAGAGGCCTACCAACCAAACCCACCTCAGCAGGCAGACAGCAATCACTGGTTCTTCTTGTCCTTTTTTAAGTTTTAACCACTCCAATTACCGTTGTCTGTAGTACATGCTTGATAAATCATAAAACAGTGTGCGATTGCTGTGCACCAATCAATTCCAAATACAGGGACAGGTGCTAGTCGTTAGGGGTGGATTTTAGAAACAGAATTTCTGGACTGAATTCGTTATATCAAATCCTCTCTACCTACAACACCAGAGTCAATCTTTTTTTTTTAGGGGTAAGAAAGACTAATAGCAAACCAAACAGGTAGGGAAAGGTAGAAAAATTTTTGGTTTGAAGGAAAAGGTAGAAAAACTTTTACAAACCTTGTATAAATTTCCCTGTCTTTTCCTTCTTTTCCCTACCTTTTCCTTCAAACCAAACATAGTCTTAAGGAATACAAATCCTGCAACAGAGGCCACACCACAGGAGAGCGAACAAGCAAAGGATCGCTGATTTAAAGCATATTCAATATTAATAGTCACTCTCAATGCTGAGATACTTCACACCCAGACTTTGTGCAGATAAACAACATTCCAAGATATTAACAATTCAGCATATTCTGTAGAAACACCTTTGCATAAATCATATCTAGCAACCAAAAAAATACCCTGAAGTATCTGAAATCCGAAAAAGCCATGGCAAGAGTCAACTAAAGCAATGGCGAGAAGATTAAAACCCGAAAACAGATGAAATATCAGAGATACAAATTGAATGGCCCAACTTTGTGAGCCTGGTGAATTTCCCCATTTAGCTGCCAAAGAAGTGACTAAGTATCCGTGTAACAGCGTTTCACATTTACTTTTACAAAAAATTAGTACTTGGGAAAGGCCTTGTTTGTTTTTCAGTAAATTATTTACTTGGGTAAATGCAATTACTTAGGTGAATTTTTGTTGGGAAATATTTATCCGGGTAAGTGTATTTATTCATGTTCTTTTATTTCACAGGTAAATAATACAATGACTATTTTAGCCATAAAAATTCATTATTAAAAGGGGCATTTTTGTCCCATTCAAGTGTTGACAATTTTCCCTGTAGGTGGAAAAGTTGTTTATCCAATGGGTATCATTTACCGGATAAGTGATACCTAGGAAAATAAACTTTCCCTGATCCTCACATAAATCTGAAAAAAGAACATGGGGTTCTTGGTCAATCCCCCCCCCTCTCAAAATCTCAAAAAAGAATGCCCCCTAAATGTGACACCCTTCAAATAGGGGGGCGGGGGGTTGCAGACTGAAGTGCTGGCTGCCATGTAGGGGGCACAAATGAATGTGTGTTCATTGGAAATGGCCCCCACCAGTTTGAACTTGAACCTCTTCAGAAGAGGGATCCAGCTTCCTCCTTAGGTTATACATTCTAAAATTAAGGGTACCCACTTGGGTGGGTTGTGTGAGCTTGAGGGTCAACTCAAGCCCAGCCCTTAGACTTAGACTTTGGGTTTGGGCTTGGCCCCCATTCAAGGTCAAGCCCAAGCTTATCAAGTTAGGCCCAATCCAAACGTAACCCAACACAACATGGATTTCGGCTTAAGGCTTATTGGTCGAGTTTGGAAGGATTTTTGAATGAAGTAAGATGTATTGATGAAAATAGGTAGAAATGCCCAATTTACTGGCACGTGGCACAAGTAGAATGGTGGAAACTCCATTCCATTCCACTTGTATTCACAGTATACTTCTATATTTAAGCCTTCATGTGTCTCCCTTAATATCTTCTCCTATTATTAATCATTTAAAAATTGCAACTAAAAAGATTTAAACCCATGTATCCAAGTCGAAAGCCAGCAAATCCACCACTACACCATGCTTCACTTTATTCTCACTTAATTAAAGATATTTATAGAATAGTTTATATTACAAAATAAATTAGAATATATGATATATGTAAATAATTGTGCATCAAGTGGAGTCRCAAACAATACCGGGGAAGATTGTTTTGCACACAAGACTAAGGTTAAGTCATTAGGTTGTTGATCAATCCCTATATATTAATCATTCACATCTCTTAATCTCTTTCTAATGTGGGATTCACAGGTGAATCCGGCCATGAAAATCATCAATAACTCAACTATTAGAACATGCCCACTATAGGTGAAGTCAATAGGAGTTTACCAACTGTTTGTCTTAACCACTCAACCATGGGAAAATCAACAAAACCATTGGAATCACAGCATGCATCTTATCGACTACTACAAATCTACACTAGTGGAGTCATAGGAGTTCACCAACCGCTAAACAATCAATTTTCTATGAGGCTGACGTGTGTTAGTACCGATTATGTATTGTTCCCTATTCATTCCAATGTGTATCGGCTTGTTATTACCATCACATGGTACAGGACTACAGGGTGGGATTTCTTTGTTTTGGTGTCATTCCACCTATATCCATCCACTGATATGCAATTGTATCAGTCCATATCGATTGGTACTCAACTATCATAAATCGAAATGCTGGATACAAAACTGTTATAATTCATTACAAACCCACCCATGTTCAATAGTCAAAAATCAATTCTCAAACCGTTACAAATCCATACTTACAGATTATTCAAGTCTCAAGTCTCTCTCTCTCCAAAAAAAAAAAAAGAAAAGAAAAGAAAAGAAAAGATTATTCAAGTCAATCTACAACCACAACAACCCACTTTCTATCATTAAAACAAAAGCCCTTTTTTGTAATCCAGCGACCAATTTACTCGCATTTGTGTATTGGTAATTGCAGGTTTCACGGTAAATCAATTTTTTCATGGATATCACTTAGTCTGATAAATGATATCTAGTGAATAAGCAATTTTTTTTTTCGCTTAGGAGGAAGTTGGTAAAACATTATTGGACATAATTGGCCCTTCTAATAGTGATATTTATCTGAACAAAATTTATGCTAAAAAGAACGCAGATAAATGCATTTACCCAAATAAAACTTATAGATAAACGAAATAGATTTATATATTGTCCGCCGGCCCTTACCCAATATAAGACGTCGGATTTGAGTTCAAATGCTCTCGTTGCATGGAGGACGCAGAGCACTCCACTGATGGTCATGGACACGTAATCAGCATTAAGGCTTGAATTTTTTTAGGCTACTATTCAGTTTGTCTATGTGTCCGTCACTGACTGCAGAGAGCGAAGATAAATTCGAACTATTTGGGGACGAATTAGCTCTTTCCCATCATTGATTGCAAACTGTTTGGATTGAAATGGAATAGGCAGCGGAATTAGAATCGTCAATTCTACGAATCTCCAGATTCAACTGTTTGATGAGTTTATATTGAGGCAGAGGAAAAAAAATTAGTATCTCTAGTTGCATCGGTGAGGAAAGTAATTCTTTTTTTCCCCGGACGAATCAATTAAAGAGTGGAATTCAAAACAAAATCCACTCCCCTGATCCAAGCGCTCAATGGGTCCTACTAAGATCAACAGACCAACTACTAAGATAGACGGTTGCCCGAAGGGTCAACCCTAACCCTAACCCTAACCCTAACCCGATCATCAACCCGGCCCAAGTTGCAGCCCTAGTGATGATTTCAATTTCCAATCCCGGAAATGACAATGAGTGGATTTCAGTGTAATATAAGCTAATTCTGAGTAACAAATTCACATGAACAAATGTATGATGGCATCCCCTCTCTGACTTGAGTTCAATGTTTGCAACTGGTAAATGCTGGCTGCTTTTCGACACTGGTACAAACCATTTCACATCATAGGAGAGAAGGGACCCATGAACGGAAAAACACAGCTCTCTCTCTAGTCTTCCACCTTTTAATTCTGGCCTTAAATTGCTAGACCAGAAGGCCCACCTCATTGTCAGCTCAGGTAACAAACTCATCCAGAGTCCAGACTTGTGCTTGAACGGGTATAGGACCTAATGCTAATGGACTCATAGATCAAGAGTTAAGACAGACATCCATGTGGGTGTCAGTTGGCATCTTCAAATAAGGCCAATTCTTCCTATAAAAGCAATGAACATAATCTGAAATTTCCAAAAAAGTGACAGGTCAGTAAGTCTCCTCATATTTTGGACAAATTGGCTACCTGGAGTTACCCAGTAGTCACAGATACTGTAGCATATCAGATGATGAGCTGCAGGGTTTTGATCGAGTCAGTTGGGTGATTCATCTGAGTTGTCACCGAGTCTCTCCTGCTGTGTGTCACAGTTGACTTTGCAACTCGGCAATTGAACAGAAGTTGAAAATTTAAGCTACTGCAACTGCAAAGAGGGGCCATCTCACTACATGATGGAATGTTCAATGTTCTGTTTGAGGTACACCCACAAAACGACTCAAGAACAGTTCGCCCATTGACCACCCTTAATTCAGTTCATTGTGCAGGGATATCAACAGCAGAAGATGTTATTAGAATTGAATTGGCAAAGTGCATGTGTATTTATTTATGTACAGTGGAAAGTGAAATCCAATTTCAATGAGTTCTCAGAAAAAAAAAAATGGAATGACAAAGAATCTAATCAGAACTGGAAGTAGTGAAGCAGTGGAATGGATGGACACCCACCGATGAATGATGTCATGGTTGATTGGGTGGCTCTGGATAACCATTCAGTTGTTCTATCTGCCAGCTGTTGTGTGGGGCAACTTGTTCATGGGATGGGCTGTATTGCTGCAAAGATTAAAGAAATGCATTCAGATGAAACACCCAGAAATCTGTTAAGAAAGAAACAGAGGTAGATCAGATGAACTGACGACCTCCATCTTCAACATCAATTCCTTGGCTGTTGGAGCAGAGATAACTATATCACGAGCAGCTGGGTTGATGAATCCTTCTGAAACGCCATTGTCAAATAATGCAAGCAAAGAATTGTAATAGCCATCCACATTTAGCAGACCAACCTGTGAACATGATACCAAGTTAGAAGCATTATGAGTAACCTCTCCACCCCTGAAAACAGATCAAATAAGTAATAAGAAAAACCAGAAAACTCTGATTAATACTGGCTTGTTATGAATTCCAAGCTGTGACCAAGTTATCATCTCTAGTGTCTCTTCCATTGTTCCATATCCTCCTACAGAAAATCAAAATCCCATTGCCGAAAATCGACCAAGAACAAGAGAAAACCAAGTCAGTTACCTCTATTTTATGTTTGAAGAGTTAAAAGCTTCTGTGTTTCTTACCTGGAAGAGCAATAAATGCATCAGATTGCCGAGCCATCTCAGCCTTGCGCTCGTGCATGTCCGAAACAGTTCTTACTTCCCCCACAGTTTCGCCAGATATCTGTTGATACAGTCGAAGTTGCAACTAGTTTCCAACTACTCAACTAGAATGTGACAATATCATACAATTAAAAAAGCTACAACTCAATCAGTTATTCATGTCTCCCAATTGCTTTTAGGATTGAGATTTCCTTCTCCCCGGAGATAATAGCAGTAAGTTTTATAACATGATTAACAGATAAAATTGAAGGTCACTGCATACACGGATGAAAAGGATAAGAACCGCTTTTATAAGCACTGGAGTCCAACTAGAGACCAAAATCAAGATAATCCCATGAAATTATAGCTCTATTTCCATGTCTGCTAGTTTCTATAAGATAGATGGTATTCTAAGTATGTTCCCTCAATTATATAAAAGTTTCAGCCTTCTAAAACATACTGAAAATAAGAAGAAGAAAGAGATGACAGCCTAAGAGCACAAATACCTCAATAGGCTTAAGTGCTGTTGGAATGACCCTGCGTATATGGAGAACAAAGCCAAAAGAAAACAGAGTAACAGAAAAATCAATTAGAGAAGAAGCTCATAGATTGTTTTGATGCTAGAATTGTTTCAAAAACGTAAATAAAAGCATCCTAATTTACCCAAGAACATGGCAACCCCCATCATAAACTCTCTGAGAAATCAAACCCATCAAGCCAACACTCCCACCACCATAGACCAAATCTATTTTCCTCTTCACCTGCAGTCCACACCGACGAAATTAAAAATAAAACCCACAAAAGATCTTACTGAACCAACCCCAAAAAAAAGCCTGAAATTCTATGAACTAAAAACCGAACAGTAATCACAGAAGGAATTCAGTTCAAAACATAAAATACCCATTACGCGGGTCCTCAAAACCAATCCTAATGCACACCCAATTCTATGTTTGGGAGCCGAAAACCAAAATTTCATAGAAAGAAATAGAAAGCTACATGAAAGCAAGAATGAAAAAAGAAAAAAAAAAAAGCAATCGACCAATTATATGTAGATAAACGAAAAGGACCAGAGTTAACCAGTTCAGTTCCCAATTCAAGAGCAGCATCACTGAAGACTTTCCTGTTGCCTGAGCTGCTACCACAGAAAACGCATACTCTCTTGAATTTGCTCTGGGTGTTGCCCTCCATTACGTTAAAGGTTTCAAGAGTTTTCATTCAAATTGCAAATCACGTGGAAGAAAGAAATCCTTCACTTACTGTTATTGGGTTCTTCAGAAAACAAAGGAAGATAAAAAAGAGAGGATTAAAACAGAGTCACAGAACCGGCGGTCAAAGACAAAACCAGGTTCTTGTTGCATTTATCAATTTAATCAAACGCCTCCTTGTCGGTCCTTGTCAACATAAAATTCTCTTTTTTTATTTTTTGCTTTTCGTTTCTCTCCGTCAAAAAAGGAATGCATTCTTTTTAAGTTCGTAAATATCGGAACTTTCGGCTTCCGATAGGAAACAAGGAAACGTTACACGTTATAGTCTTCCATGGAGAACCTATCTAAGCTTTCAACATAGAAACAGGTATATTCGGCCGATATATCCGAAACGTGTTCTCAGAATCGAAATCGTCACAGAAATTTCGTTCCTCTTTTCTTATAAACAACTAATTTTTAGTCTTAAAACCATGGTTTTTAAAAACGAACCAGTCAGGGGTCCGATTACCCCCAAACGGCTGGCCTGTTCTGACAAAAAAATAAAAAATTAGAAAACGGTGCAAACGGTTAACCAATCAGTTCAGCGGTTTACCAATTTGGAGGAAAACAAAACTGGTCAAGTGACCGATTCCCGGTTTTTCCGGTCCGATTTTGAAAACAGTGCTCAAAACCCTCTTTTGAAAACTTTGTATGATAGGAACTACATCCAACAAAAGACAAAAATAAAAAATAAAATAAAACATAAATCATAAAAAAGATAAGAAAAGGTAAGGGTCGCGATGTAATGACTCACGAGGGCCCCCCCTCAAATGATATTCGATCAGAGGCTATTGGATTCCCTCCACGCTTTTAAAACCAGTAATTTCGGCTGGGGTAAATTGCATATTATTATCCTGTAATTTGAGTAGCCTTTGACTTCAGTACCCGAATTTTAAAAGGTGCAGTACCTAAAACACCTGAAAACTGTCAATTTAGCATCCGAGTTTTAAAAAGTGCATTTAAAATTTTTAAAAATGTTACCTAACCTTCTCATTATTTTTTATACCAATTTGCCCTTTTCTTCAAAACCATTAAAACCTAAAGTTTTCTTATTTTCATTCAAGTTTGAATGAATGGTTGCAAAAGAGAAGAATGTTGAACAATGAAAGTTTTTGAATAGAATCAAGTGTAAATTAAACTACATCAGACTTGAAGAAAAATATATAGACTTTTCACCTTAATTTTCTTTCCCAGTAACACCATTCTCCGTGTAACTACGCCAATAAAAGTATCAGAAACCCTGTCAGGCTGATTGGATTTTCATAGGGAAGATGCTAACCAATCAACCTTAACGGGTATTTTTGTCCTTTCACCTACCATCTAATGTCGATTAACAGTTTTGGCCTAAAGTGACAGTTTTCCAGAGTTCAGATATTCAACTATGATGTGGAAAAGATATGATATCTAAAAAACTTCTGCTCAATGAATTGGAATCATAAATGTGGTAGCCAATCAGGTGTTRTTTATCAAAATTCATGGATGGATTTTGATTGATCAAAACTCTTCCCATACTATATCTTTTCCACATCATAGATTTTCCTTACCCTTTCAGTTGAAAAACCACTTTAGCCCAAGCAACAAACAAGCCCATTTTTGTAGTAACCCTTAACAGCCCATAACTCGGAAACCCATCCAATAAACTTAGCCCACATGCGTTGTCATCAAGACTCTTGATTCTTCACATAGATACTGTGATTTTGTCAGTTCATTTTAAGTAACAAGTATGATAATACAGTGCATTAATCCATACAGAGATTTTTTTTAAGAACCCCTAAGGTTATCCTTATCCAGGTGGAAGGGTAGTCATCTTAAATTATATTAACCATTATCAACAGGGGTAACAATAATACAGGAGCAGAGGATGTATACTGCCTTGCCCAAAACCCAATACAAAATCACACATTCTAATCATCTCAACCCTGCTTAATACAAGACTCAAACAGAGTAAGAAATATATATTAGAACACAAGACCATTAACCTATACAAAGAAGAGGAATCTTCAAATAGTCTTCTTGGAGCAACTTCTTTAACTCTCTAGGGATGTCTTGAATGGTATGATAAATCTAAAATCTTTCTTCATTGATACCCATGTTATCAAGAAAATAAGCACAATGGTTTCCTTCTTTTAGAGTGTGAGAATATTTAATCCTCATATTTGAACTTATTGTTTTAATTCCATGAGAAAGATGGGTAATTTACTAGGGATAAGAGCTTTCATTTCATAACACATCAATCAAACATTTAGTATCACTTTCAACCTCAACATGCATCATCCCTAAGCTGAAACCATCAACAGATAAAGGAACCCAACGAACCTTCTATGAGGTGCGATGGGAATATTAAGAATGTTGTATATGTTTTAAAATAGGGTTACCATGAGCTAAGTTAATCTCCATTAGCCATCTGTTTATTATCATCACAAGAGAAGAACTGAAGAAATAGGAGGCCCTTTATTATCATCAAAAGAATGCAAACATCAAATTTTAGTTTGCATCTTTCCTTCTAAATAACCCACAAATAATAGTCGGAACTTTTTTTTACACCCAGTGGCAACCAACACAACAAGCTGTTCAGGACGATTAAGAAGGATGAAACAGATCAACAGATAAAGCATCCACGATCAAAAACAGAGGTGAAGACCAAATGAAAGCACAGTTCAGCGAGAGAATGATGAACAATCAAGTAGCCACTTTATTAAGCTATCATGGAGTATGGCGAACAGAGCGAATTCAGATCTCTTAACCCACAAGAATCCTCCCTTCACCTACCCGCATGACACTACAGTTGTATATTAACATCTCCCCATAAGTGGTAATATGCAAATAAGATAGATATTCTCAATATACAACTGTAACGAGGTACGGATAGGATTTTCGAACTCGAACCAAGCAGTTATAGTTAGAGAGGAGAGAAAATGTCTCTCTGCAATAGTGGTCTAATACACCAAGGAGGTGAAGAGGAATCCTCCAATAGAGAGTTTATCAGGGTAAAAGTGTCCCTCAATTTGAACTTTATCCAGATTAGGAGAAGATACAAAGTTCAAAGCTTCCATCAAAGCTAAAGCTTCACTTTCCATGGCCGAACTATCCTTTACATTCATATCCCGAGCATCTAAGAAGGATATATTGTGGTCCCTTACCACTCACCCATCGAAGTTAAACTTTAACCAACTCTTTGGAGGTTTGGGCCAATATGGATAGATGACAAGTGGTCTAAGGGAGAGTTAACTGCTGTGAAACTATTGCAGTGCAAGTGTAAATTCTGACCTATTTTTGTTTTAAATTTTAGTTTATTTTATTTGATTTCAGTACAAATGAAGTAATTAAAACATGAAACAGAATAAAATAAAACCCAAAACAAAATTAAATGAGAATTTGCATTTTCATGCATTTGTATTAGTGCAAATAAATTTGCACCGCAATCAAACAAGCCTAAGATTCAATTTGGTTGTAGTGCAATTTTATTTGCACTAATACAAATGCATAGGAGTGCAAATGAAAAAAAATGCTAAAAATTTATTAGTTTTGTTTTGAGTTTTACTTTATTTTTCTTCATGTCTTCATTTACATCATTTGTATTGTAAATTTGTAATCAAACAAAATAAGCTAAAATTTGAAACAAAAATAGGTCAGAATTTATGCTGAAATCATTTACACTGCCATAGGCTCAATTTGGAAGGAGTACAGATACAAATACATATAAAATAATACAAAATACAAGGCTTTGTGTTCTACATATTTGTATTTGTACTCCTTCTAAATGGAGCTATAGTTTTACATCCATACAAATTTGTTTGCATTGCAACCAAACACAGCCTAGACTCAATTTAGAAAGAGTACAACTACAAATAAAAATATGTATAGTACAATACATACAAAATACCGGGTTTTGCACTCAACATATTTGTATTTGTACTCCTTCTAAACTAAGACTTTGAACCAATACAAATATTGCACTTAGACCACCGTTCCCTAAGGCTCAGTTTGGAAAGAGTACAAATGCAAATATGTAGAGTGCAAATACTTACAAGATAATACAAAATATAAGGCTTTGCACTCTACATATTTGCATTTGTAGTCCTTCCAAACTCAAAAATACTAATGAGGGCAGATTTGGCCATCCATTGACATCATGACACATGGCATCTCAGAACAATTGGATAACACCCCAACACCACCTAGGCAATGACTTGCCTTAGCCAAAATGGAGTCCTAGCTGACAATCTACCTCCGCCAACCTAGTGGAAACCTATCTGGCGACCTCGTCCACAACTCAGGGCGTCTTGCAACACCTCATCTAGGGCCGACTTGTGGTACCTCGTTAGTACCAGTCGAAGTGACCTCAACATGAGGAGCGACCTCCCTTAAGGGCTTGCCGACCTGATTGAGCATGTGGCGACTTGCGAGACATGCTCGCCGACCAATTCTACATGCATCCCGTCACTCCCAAGTCTACGTGTAGGACTACCTCTAAGGACTCCAGATCGGTTAGGCACGTCTTCTCGGAGATCTCGGACGCGGTGCGTGAAGCCCGCCCCAAACAATGCCTACATAAGGGCCTTACYTCCAACCTTAGAAAGTATATGCGCAATTTAGCTCTCACAACTCTCTCACATTTAGATCCCTAAAAAATCTCTGATTCGCTGACTTAAGCATTTGAGTGCCCACCCTGGGTAAAGCAACTCGAGCACTCTGACATTGTTTTCTATGCAGGTCGCCCTAGTAAACTATACAATTTGTCATTATTCAGCTAGGCACCCAAGCCATCTTCCAGCTAGGAACCGTTCAGTTAGGCACACAAGTCACCTTTCGACTAGGAGTTGTTCAACTAGGTATCCGAGCTACCTTCCATGAGGTAGTTGCCAAAATGCGCATCATCAAGTACAAATACAAATATGTACGGAACAGTGCAAATATATACAAAAGGTTCACAGTAGCAACATTCAATACTCTCAATATAAAAATTTAGAGTTTTAATCAATATATACTATTTTTTAAAACTTCTTTGGTGAGATAAAAAAATGTATACATGGTAGATACACACACACCATATTAGGGATTTGTTTGGTTTACAGTTGG